ATCACATTTACTAACCATGAACTGTTATATTCTTCAGTTTTTATCCTGCTCATAGAGGACAAAATTCTACGAGATGTCATCTTGGAGGCGCACAGCTTGGGATATGCCACCTCTGGAGAATTTGTGTTCATCGTCATTATTGGAATAACCGATGTACCCAATGATAAGAAGATCTGGAAAGCCGGACAGGACACCGACGAGGTGAGCTCTTACCAGAAAATAACCCTTGACCTGTTAAGGTCGTGGACATGTATCAATATAGGCACCAACACATGAATCCCGCCATATTTCCATGGCTTCCGCTTTCACTACGGTTCCCTCGTGTTGTGGCGACTCCCAAACAGTTATTTTCCTTTTTAACTCCAATAAATATGAGCTTTCCGATGCTTAGGCGACTCTAAGGGTCGTTCGACCCCAAAAATGGTCGCAACCGGCAGGTTTAGAACGGCTATTCTAGACTGTTTAATACGCGCTGTCTCAATGGTTATTACATGTTTCTTAAATCCAACACATCAGGGTTGGAGGGCAGCTGCAAATCATTGATGGGCTGACCTGGAAAGCTGGAAAGGACGCGGTGCCTTAGATTCTATATAACGCCAGCTGGGGTATATATATATATATATATATAAAGTTAGTTGCGTAACCTTTACAACACACATGTCAAACTGACGGTCCCGCGAGAGCCACATATGTAATATTTGTGTCGTCATGAGGGCTACACACCAAAGTAACTGAAGTCAATGAATGAACATTTTCCCGGTATATTTACCTTGTGCAGGCCGCAAGTGTGCTTGTAAAGGGTCGCATGCAGCCTGCTGGTGTGCTTGCAAAGTATCGCAGGCGGTCCGCAGGTGTGCTTGCAAAGGGTCGCATGCGGGCCACAGGTGTGCTTGCAAAGGGCCACATGCAGTCCGAAGGTGTGCTTGCAAAGGGTCGTATGCGGGCCACAGGTGTGCTTGCAAAGGGCCACATGCAGTCCGCAGGTGTGCTTTCAAAGGGTGGCATGCGGGCCACAGGTGTGCTTGCAAAGGGCCACATGCAGTCCGCAGGTGTGCTTGCAAAGGGCCACATGCAGTCCGAAGGTGTGCTTGCAAAGGGTCGTATGCGGGCCACAGGTGTGCTTGCAAAGGGCCACATGCAGTCCGCAGGTGTGCTTTCAAAGGGTGGCATGCGGGCCACAGGTGTGCTTGCAAAGGGCCACATGCAGTCTGCAGGTGTGCTTGCAAAGGGTCGCATGCGAGCCGCAGTCCGCGAATTTGACATGCCCACTTTACAAGATGATGCAGAACCAACTTAAGTTTTCGTTGCTTGTCGTGGTTTTTTTTTTTTTTTTTCTAGGCAAATTTACATTCAATAGTTTGTCATTGCTCGGAACGTTAGACTCTTGATAAAACTGTCGAAACAAACGCAAGACAGACTGCTGCCACATCCCATGCAGCTGGGATCGAACTTGGCACCCCCTCATTACGAATCGTCTTCGCATTACCCAAGACAGAGACGCCGACTCAGGGTTATTACAGTTTCTTCAGTTCCAGTATACCAGGCTTTGAAGTCAGCCGCAAGCGATTGATTAAGTAGATCCGGACAATTGAACAGAGCACTGAGAAGGTGAGTGTCGGACACAGTGAAATATTTTGTGGAAGTGATATTAACTTTGCCATATTTTCACTGACTTGAAACTGGTTTTTGGTCTATTCATCGTGTCTAAAATGCCAGAAGCTTCCTTTATTACACCACTTTCGCGGTGTAGACAGGGGGTCTGAGTCAAGGAATTTGAGGCCGCATAGCTAGTGCTGTCACCACCACTGTGCAGGTGAGGATTTATTTTACCACGACAGAAAAGAAAATCCCCAGCCTAACCGAGGATAAGAACCCGGGTCTCTGCTTGAGAGTCCAGCGTTCTAACCGTTCGGCCAGCCGCTTCTATCTCTAAATAGCGATGACTTTTAAATGTACAAAATAATACATTCTCTTAGGCGTTATTCATTTTATGAGTAAGTTTGACTAGAGATTTTGAATTGGGTCTTATTCACGTTTCCCGGTCCACCTACACACTTTCTCAGTCTGCTCTGGGTCAGATGAATGTCATATTGTACTGTTTTCTTCGAAAAGAGTCTCTCTCTCAGGTGACCTAGGTTCAGGCTGTGTGTGTGGGGGGAGGGGGGGGAGAGGTTGAGTTAAGGCCGGTTCTAGATGTTATGAGTCGTTAAAAGCTGTGTCATAGTGTAGTATAGAACACACGACATCGGCGCTGATGTGACTGGAGGCAAGACAACGTGACACCCCTCTGACGTAGAACACTCTGAGTAAGTATGAATAAAATAAAGGCCGGGAAACGAGAATATGACCTTGAACTGTTCTCACAAGATACAGTGATTTGATCCTTCTTGTTTCAGACTGTAAGACAAGCATTGGCCCACGCTTTGTTTCCCTACGTGAACGACTCTTGGGGGACACTGCCGCCAAATTTATCTAGAGAAATTAAAGATCGAGCCTCCAGAGACTACAGCTTTAACACTAACAAGGAGGTTAGTGACATTGCCCTGTCTACGTTTCCTTACTTGTCATGAGTTCAAATTGGCAGGCTCATTCATAAGTCTGTATTCTGATCGAGCACCTTTTTTTCTCATAGTATGTATCTTCTTCTTCTGCACATTCGAAGATGTAAATGCCTTGTGTCCGTTTTCAACATGGCTGCAATAGCTTTTGGCCGACACATCCGACTTTTGCAGGCATCTGTTTGCTCAGGTTAGCCCTACCGTATGTTATCTGTCTGAATCACCAGGTATGATACTGAATCAGAAGTCAAAATTTAGAATCATGAATCGTTCACATGTCTTTAATGCTAAAGCTGAGATATTTTATGTATGGTGATTCTAAATACTACTCTATTTGACATATCTTGATTGTAAATCACCAGTCTCTGTATCGTGTCTTGATTCTAAGCCACCAGTTTCTGAACCGGACGCGATTCTGATAATGAACAAAAACATAAAATACCAATCAGCTCCACTTTTGAGGCATCAAAATATTATCACGCATACAAAAAGGTAGCTGAAAAATGTCCTATTCGTACCAAGTTTGGGCTATTAATGTCAGACACGGACAGTCCTATTAAAACATTAACGCAAAATTACATTTGAGATGAGATGTTTATGAAATGCGGCAGAAAAAAAGAAGAAGAAGAAGAAGAAGAGGAAGTCGCAACGAAGATATTAAGAACAATGGTAAATGATTTCATAGAACATCAAAGACTCAAATGGTTTGGTCATCTGGACAGAAGGGAACAAAATCAGCCAGCAGCTAGAACGTACTACATGAAAACAGCAGGTTGCAAATTAAGAAACCCACCAAGAGATACGGGTGGATAGTGTAAAAGAGACAATACATAAACGCAATTTTATCTTAACGCAGACTACAAAACTTGCAAAGACAGGAAACTACGACGCTTCACTGCAGAAGCAGAAGCACTAAAAAAGAAAAATTAATAAACTGTAGTCTTTGGAAGAAAGATTATACGCTCCATCAATTTTTTTAAACGTAAGCAAAAAGCAAAGGTCCCTTTTCCACGTCTTTATGTGTATAGGGCATAGAGGGCTAGACCTATATTTTTTATAGACCAATCGTCACAAGATGGGTGATATGGTCAGCATCACGCCGGCTGCCTTTATTTCCTGGGAACTGAACCCGGTACCTACTCAAGGCTGGGTCGACCTGGGAGTCAAGGTTATTTTTGAAAAAAGTCCGTTTTTGTTTATGTACTCGTATTTATTTGAAGAAACAATAGCATTTGTAGTGCCGTTGGTGAACTGACAATGACATTGTTAAATGGCATCTACAACAGTGGTTACATATATGCAGACATTTAGAATGTTACAAAAGAAGCAATTGGTGCGATCGACCGTGAAGCACATCATACAGTTAGCTCAATGAGCCGAGTACACACAAAGTATTGATGGGGATTATAATGATAGTAAAAAATGCAAAATAAAACTAGAAATGTGGTATAAGTACTGTTGTTTTGTGAAGGTGATAACAGTACCAGAACGAATGATTGAAATGTAAGTATGTAAGTTGTAAATCCCCCACCCCCCTCCCCTTTTCCCCAGATATGACACAAACGATAAACACGCGATGACACAAAGTGCCACCATGCGGATGGGGTCCAGGAAACCCCTTTCAGCTGTTGGACCATATTTATGGACTGGCTATATTTAGGGCTCCCAGCAAAAGCCAGGGTGGGGCTTTAAAAAAAAAAAAAATTACATCACACAAGAGGATGACGAGAAGAATGATTGAACTGGAAAAATGTGTGTGTGTTTGATAGACTACTAGATGTACCCGGCCACGCGTTGCTGTGGCATAGTTTGGCTAAATGGAAAGATGTGTGTGTGTTTTATAGACTATTTACTAAAACGGTTGATACGGTGAAATGTAAAAAAAAAAAAAAAAAAATTGGGGAGTTTTAAAGCATAAAAATTGATGATACAGATCTAATGCAAGGAGGGGGGGGGAGATATACCAGTCAACTGCTAGTGGGATACTGTGATCATGGAGTCAAGGAGATGGCTGCTCAATCAGTGAAGGGAGTGGGGAAAAAAGGAGGGGGGGGGGGCGTGTAAAAGGTGAAGAGTGAGAGAGGGACCAAAAGAGATCTTACATTGGTAATTTGGCATCATGGCTGACAGGCAGGATTTCAGACTTTTAAGATTTAAGGGCATAGACAAACACCCTTTAAAAAGAAGAAAAAAATTATTCCTGAACCTTATTCCTTATTTTGTTTATTCGTAAAGCCATTCATGTACACCCCCTCCCCCCATACCCCATTTAGTTCTTTTAATTAGGCATTTTTCTGTTTCACGTAGATCTTGGTCGTTTTAAGAAGCACTATTGTCTTGTCCCTTTAATCTTCCAGTATTTTAGGGCGTCTTTTCCCTTACCCTCCCCCACTCCCCTTTTCTCCCATTGAGCTTTCTAGCACAGTTTACGTTGTGTTTACTACGTGACAAACATGCTATGCTGCACTTATGTAACGATGCTCCGGAATCTGTAACTGTTTACTTTAGTCTATTGTCACCAATCTCGCTGAGTTCATGACGTGTGTCTGTTAATGAAACGTTTTTAATTATTATTTGTTTTCTTAAAATACAACCTGTGTGTTGCTGAGTATTTTCATATCATGTAACGATACTTTTAAATTCAGAAGTTTAATCATTACACTAAAAAAATCAAATTTTTTTTTTTCAAAAACTGTTACCAGGCAGCACCACCGACACACACACACACACACACACAAAACAGCGAGAGTGGAGGAGGTGGCACTCAGTCAATAATAACAATAATAATAATAATTATGTGTTTAATGGCAAATACGTACAATAATATATTTAAAATGAAATGCACAGTAGTACATCGATTTACGAACTCGGGCAATTATGATGATAATAATAATGTATTGAATGGCAATAAGTACAGTATGTTTGAAATGAAATACACATTAGTACATCAAATAACGAACTTAATTAGTTTATGACTACATGCATAGAGAGAAAAAAATATGCATGTTTAACATGCGTCGCATGTATTCCAGTAACAACAAACACGCGCGTGTGCGCAGTGCCTCACAGTTCGCATATCGAATTTAGGTTAGTATGTAGAGGTCCCAACCTAACCATCCGAGATCGAGTGAATAATGAAACAATCTGGCAAATTGTGGGAACGACAATTTGTATTAGATTTATCGATAAATAGCAGATTAAGTGGTTTGGCCATCTCGTTATAAGGCAGCAAGATCAAATACCATCACACGCACTACATCTCAGAAGATAAGCTACAAGAGCAAGAGGACGGCCACGGAAATATGGATCGACAACATTAAAGACACTCTACGCCTTCACGGCATGACAATAGCCAGTGGCAGCCAACGTGCACTGGATCGCAAATTATTCCTCCCCTCGTCGCTTAACGGCAGAAGTGGTTTATGATGATGATGATGATGATGTAGAGGTCAAAATGGGATATGTAGAGCGGTTGGTAAGTCGAGGTACCACCGGATACTTTTTAAGATAATTTATCATCATCGTCATCATCAAGTGCCTTGTCAGCTGGCGTGGGTAATCATGCCACTCCACAATCTGCGATCTCCCCCTGACACACCTCCATGCAAAAAGACTGTCAAGAATCTTCTCTCGTTGTCTTCCTCTATCCCTCCTTTTACAGATCTTTTCAGGGGTCGCAACATATTCCTTTTCCTCTCTTCTCATAACATGGCTATAAAAAAAATAGTGTCTCCTTCTGATGTCTGTGATAAGTTGTCTTCGGGCTTCCGCCGTTTTCAAAATCTCTTGGCTGCTCTTTTTGGCTATCCAAGGTATTTTAAGAAGTCCTCAATAAAACCACGTTTCTGAAGCCTCAATAAATTGTGTAAGAATTTAGATAAATGGATCAACCCTAACCCCCACCAACATATCTTTAAGCTAAAACAACAACAACTTGTTAGGGAGAGAGCCTGAGCACCGAGATTATTGTACGTATTCTTTTTCTGCCTTTCTAACCTCCAATGAAGCATAGGCCCTGAATCAAATAACGCTAAATCGTTTTATCTTTTGTTATTGCATGCAGCCCTCGCCATATCCTTCTCATCTTTTTAACTTCACTCTCCAGCTCCCTTGTCCATGTGTTTTTGATATTCCTTTATTCCCATGTCCATGTGGGTTCCAGTGCAAAGACATTCTGTTAATATTGTTCTCAGGTTTTCTCAACGCATGTCCTATCCACCGCCAGTATTTTTTCTTCACCTCTTGGTACTGTAACTGGTTTAGGTCTCATCCAAAGCTCTACATTAGTGATTCTATTAAATAACTTAATTCCCTCCATTCTACCTGTTAATAGATGCTTGTGGTTTATTAGTAATTGCCTTAGTTGTTCTCCATGTTTCCTCTCCATACAACAGTACTGGTTTGACACTAGAATAAAAATGTAGAACTATATTTTGTTTCTTATTGTTATATGTGTGCCAATAGCAAGGGTTGATGTTGAAAAATGCTATGTTTCTATGTTATCCTAATTTGTTTTTGCACACTTGTTTTGTTATCTTACATTGTTTCAACCTGCGCTTCTGCAGCCTGATGCATCCCTAGCTCGTTACTATGACGCTGTTTCCATGTACGCCACTGTTGTCAACGAAACCATTGCGGAGGGAGGCAACCCTTATGATGGACTGGCTATTACAAAACGAATATGGAATAGGACTTTTCCCGGTAAGTTTAATAAATGAGTTGAGTTGAGTTAATTTATCCACCGAAATCACATCACTCGGTTCAATCCCATAAGCGCTCTCTCCCCACTTCAGCAGCCAGTGCAGAGTTCCAATACTATTTTCACCAGTAGCAGTCTGATTATACTTCCGTCTTGATTTTCTTCTGAGTGCGAGTATCGGCCAGATCCCCCGTCACTTCTCGCTGCATTACTCTCACCAGAATGTGGTGATCCATTTGCTCCTCTGAATTGTACGAATTTTACGCATGCTCTCGTAAGGCCTTAGCCACGTCTGCTTTATAATACATCAAAATTCTGTAGACATTAGTTATCACTCAGACAGAATTATAAAGCTGATAATAAAACGAGGAGACCAAACGAAACGTACGCACAGATGCATCCACCGTGCAGTGATATCTATACAGAAAAGAACAACTGTGAATTCTGTGACGAACCGTCTGAAGAGGTAGAGAAGGTAGTGGCTAACAAAATATTGTATGTTCGACATGGTCAATAGACAAAAACTATGGAAAGTAATGAATCGATATGGAGTTTATAAATGTTTATATGGACATTGTAGAAGCGTAGTTAGAATAAATCAGGAAACATCTAAACCATTAAAAGTAACATTTGGAGTAAGATAGGGATGTTTCTTATCACCACTCCTGTTTGTCACCCATACTGACAGTATAAGCTAAGATGCTAGGCACAAAAATGAATATGTTAGTAATATCAACGAATTACACTTTGTTGATGACCAGGTCTTGATTGCAGATACAACCAAAAATTTACAACTACATATCATATCCATAAATACAGAATGTAAATCAAATAATATGAAAATCAACATTGAAAAGACACAAGTAATGTCGAAAGAAAGAAGATAAATTTATGTATATAGCATTAGAGGATACATATATTAAACAGGCATCTAAGTTTAAATATTTTGAAACAACATCCGATGCAGTAAAGCAGGTCAAGTATTGGGTCAGCTAGCACACTTCTTACAGTATAAGTCAGTCTCAATCAGCACAAAGAAACATCTCATACAAAGCATATTTATTCCCACCCTGTGCTATCAGTGCCAGACATGGTCACTTGCAACAAAACATAAAGGAAAATAAGTAACTATGGAAGTGAGGTGTCTGAGAAAGTCTCTAGGAGTGACAAAAAGAGATAAAATCAGGAATGAGGTCACAAGAGATAAAGTCGGCCCAGAACCCATTCTAAATTATACACAAATCAAATGGTATGCTCACTTGGAGAGAAGCCTTCTTGTGCTATAGAATACAAGGTATATACCAAAAGTGGATAAGTACATTGAGCAAAAGGTAAACCAAGTAGAAAATGGAAAGATAACATCAGAGAAACTCTAAAGTACAACTATGTCTCTATGGTCGAAGCAGACAGGAAAGCACGTAACAGGACCTTTTATCTCCCTCGACATCCGAAGAGGTGAAAGAGGACGTAAAGAAGAAGAAGAAGATATTAACATTATAGTTTAGTTATTGTTTTTACCTCATGAAAGTCATGGCTCCGTTTTACAAATGTGTCGTTTGGTTCATAAGTGCAGTTATTAATGAAATCAGCTGGGATCGTCACTGGAGATTTTGAGTTCCCTCTTTGTGGGACGTTTTCGGTAGCCAGCTAGTCCTTGAGAGAGCCGAGCCATTTGCGCTAATACATGAACAATGAAGTCAATCGTATCGATTTTAAAACTATGTCTATTTCTTTAATCTTTCTCATTTTCTATATTGTGCTATATTTGTCGTTATGGCTTCTCTCCTACCCGACACACCAAACACCTCCTCACCGACCTCCTCTTTCCTCCACTCTAATCTCTTGTTCAACTCTATATTTATTTCACACCACTGTACCAAACCTGACAAGTCACACCCAGGGGCCAAAGGCTTCCAGGGAATGAACGTACTGAGGTAGAGGAAATGCAATCTGAAAATCGCGAGAGTTAATACAATGTCATGGCAGGCCTAGCAAGACCCTTAGCTGTCGTTGGCAATCTGGTATAGAGGGATATTTCCCACAGACGGGCTCTAATCCCATTATCCAGCAGCATACCCCCCCCCCCCCAAATCGTTTGGTGCTACCTTCTCTATAGAAGAAAAACAACGCGGTAAGGGAAACGAGGGGTCATGCTACATGGGCAAAGCATGGTCTCTGACGATGTCTTCAGTTTCTCGGGTGGCTTGATTAAATCTTTTTTGCAGGTTTCAGCTACAGCCAGTCCGATATCAGTAAGAGGTATTCCCGATACCTCTTTAATTCTTTTGTAGTAGTTGATAACTACATGTTTATCAAGTTGAGCAATGTAAAAATTCAAGTTCTGATAGAAAATATGGCATTACTCTTATTACCAATAAAGCATAGGTAGCTGTTGTAGAGTCCACAAATCTGAGGAGAGTTGAGGGAAAAAAAAAAAACGAAACAGGAAAGTTTTACTATCTACGTTTACCTATTAAAGATATCAAGTGTATTTTTGACCTTAAGTTTAGGTGAGAACCGACATCATTACTTTACTAGGGACATTTCCATAGGCGCCAGTCCCAATCTTCAACATCCAGAGTAGAGTTGCAGATCTCATGGTACCGTTCAGGTCAGAGTTGTCAATCTCATGGTACCGTTCAGAGCAGAGTTGCTGATCTCATGGTACCTTTCAGAGCAGAGTTGCTGATCTTATGGTACCGTTCAGGTCACAGTTGTCAATCTCATGGTACCGTTCAGGGCAGAGTTGCTGATCTCATGGTAGCGTTCAGGTCAGAGTTGTCAATTTCATGGTACCGTTCAGGGCAGAGTTGTCAATCTCATGGTACCATTCAGGTCAGAGTTGTCAATCTCATGGTACCGTTCAGGTCAGAGTTAGTCAATCTCATAGTTCCGTTCAGGGCAGAGTTGTCTATCTCATAGTACCGTTCAGGGCAGAGTTAGTCAATCTCATAGTACCGTTCAGGGCAGAGTTAGTCAATCTCATAGTACCGTTCAGGGCAGAGTTAGTCAATCTCATGGTACCGTTCAGGGCAGAGTTAGTCAATCTCATAGTACCGTTCAGGGCAGAGTTGTCAATCTCATAGTACCGTTCAGGGCAGAGTTGTCAATCTCATGGTACCGTTCAGGGCAGAGTTAGTCAATGTCATGGTACCGTTCAGGGCAGAGTTAGTCAATCTCATGGTATTGTTCAGGGCAGAGTTGTCAATCTCATGGTACCGTTCAGGTCAGAGTTGTCAATCTCATGGTTCCGTTCAGGGCAGAGTTGTCAATCTCATAGTACCGTTCAGGGCAGAGTTAGTCAATCTCATGGTACCGTTCAGGGCAGAGTTAGTCAATCTCATGGTACCGTTCAGGGCAGAGTTAGTCAATCTCATGGTATTGTTCAGGGCAGAGTTAGTCAATCTCATAATACCGTTCAGGGCAGAGTTAGTCAATCTCATGGTATTGTTCAGGGCAGAGTTAGTCAATCTCATGGTATTGTTCAGGGCAGAGTTAGTCAATCTCATGGTATTGTTCAGGGCAGAGTTGTGAATCTCATGGTACCGTTCAGAACAGAGTTGTAATGTATAACGGTACTGTTAGCAGTTTGTATATGAGTCTTCAGCGTGTGTGGCTTAGGCGTTGCGAACGCGCATCGTAATGCCTGGTGCCTGGTTAGATCCTAGCTGCAGGGGATTTTTCGTCATGTGTTGGTTTCGATTCGGTATCGAGAGTCGACCGTTCTGCAGCAATGTCAAACTAAAGAAGGTAAATTTGGCTAGAAGCGCTATTAAATGGAACACACATTTTTGTGTTAGTTCTGCAAGATCATGTAAAGCTACGCAACTAACTTTTTTATGTTCGCCTTGCCTTTCCCCTGAGAGTTGAGTGTGTGTCGGATCCAGTGGTCAATTCCTTTCTGCAACATCCGTTTCATACATTATCTATCTGTTTTTGGCATTTAACTTGTTTCGAATAATGCGAAAACAGACTATACACTGCACAATTTATTATTTGGCATATTACGATGTATCTTGTTCAGTGCATTGCCTTAGATGAAACACACACAACAAATTCTTTTCAGCCATACACAGTCACACAATCATCTCTATAGAAACACCCATATATATGTTGATATAAGTAACTTTGTAATATTGGTTGTATTGAGATACAGTGTATATTATTTCTGGTCGCCTTCATTTAATTTAATACAGATAAACATTTTTTTAAATTGTCAAATGTACAAGGTACGACAATTAAGTAATGAGACTAATTCCATAAAATTTAAAATAAAAAATATTTGAAAATATAACCTGTATTTTATACAAAGTAAGCCCCTTATGCGTTGATACAGCAAATGGCACGATTAAACAAATCCTGGAACTACCACTGTAGTTCTTTTGTCGTTATGGCCCTTAAAGTTGATGTTACCGCCTCATGGATGTCATCAATATCGTCAAAAAAGCGTCCTTTCAATGGCAACTTTACTTTTAGGAACAGATATAGTCACAGGGAGACAAATCCGAGGGAATAGAGTAGATGGTTGAGAACAAGCACTTGTTTTAGGCCAAACATTCCTGTACAACTACCGCCCTTCGAGCCGGTGCATTGTCATGAAGAAGAAACAAATTACCAAGTTTTGAACACAAACGGGCAAGTAAAGTTTTTCTTGCCCAAATCTTCTACTAAAATTGTACGAATAGTTTCTGTATTAATCCCAAATTCATCTACCGTCATCCTCACAGTTGAACAACCGTCTTCTTTTATCCGTAACCGGAATTTGCAATAAGTTCCTCATTACAAACAGAAATTGGGCGTCCAGGTCTAGTTGCATTAGTAATCTTTTCCACACCACTTTTTAATCGTGAATACCAGCTGAAGATCTATTCATGAGATAAACAATTATTCCTATAAACTTTTCGCATTAATTTAACTGACGCAATGTTGCTTTTTCTGAGTATAAACATAATTTAATGTTAGCTTTTTTGCTGATTACGTAACAATGCACCTCTGACTAGGTTAACGAAATGTCAGCTTGTTTGTTGTTTGCTTATCGGGCTTATATATTTTGTTTGTTGTTTCCTTATATATATATATATATATATATATATATATATATATATATATATATATATATATATATATTTCTTCATAATATATGTCTTCCAGGTCTACTAGAACGTGTAACAGTGAACGAAGTTGGCGACAGTGACTCGGACGTCATGATCTCAGCTATCAACCCTACCACACAAAAACTCCAGGTAAATTGCCAATCCATTAACAAAAGCTGTCTTGTCTGGTTCAGTGCTCTCAGTTTATTGCTCAACAATGGCTTGATGTGTTGAGTATCTTTGTGGCCACACGATTCAATCAGCCTAACCCAGCTAAGTTGATCGACCCTGTTGCTCGGTTCGCAACTTACACTAACGCTGATACCCTTACTTCAATAATTGTTGAATTGATCTGTATTGAGATTTCCGCTAGGAAAAAAAATACACGAATTCATCATTTACGTTGCATTAAACCCTGGCACTGAGGCTAAGGCAATTACTACAGTAGTCGTGGCTACATTCCGATTTAAGAAATTGTTATTCATCAATTGTCAGGCGACATGGAAATCACTGGGGCTTTGCCAGTAGTGCAACAGTTTGAGAGAGCGAGAGAGAGAGAGAGAGAGAGAGAGAGAGAGAGAGAGAGAGAGAGAGAGAGAGAGAGAGAGAGAGAGAGAAAGAGAGAAAGAGAGAGAAAGAGAGAAAGAGAGAAAGAGAGAAAGAGAGAAAGAGAGAAAGAGAGAAAGAGAGAAAGAGAGTGTGTGTGTATGTTGATTCCAAATGCCTTATTGCATTGTATTCAACGTGTTTGCAAGCGAAAACAATCGAAGAGTTAACAATTACAGTTCATAATTTTTTTTTTTAATGGTACCTTTTGTCTTTCCACACGACGGTGTTATATCAGGTTAGTTGCGTATCCTTTACAGGAAGCTGCAAAATCAACCCCAACAGACCCTGGCCGTTGTGTGGTTTCTCTAGACAAACTTACGTCCCGTAGTTTGTCATCAGTGCTATATAATGTTGCGAAAAGGCAGCCTGTAAGGCAATGACTATCAATCTTTCTAATCCCGCGAGCCTATAACACAGTTCTCTCATGTTGTGGCTACCCGAAACCATGTAGTTTCCTTCATAACTTCAATGAGTAAGTGTTTTCCTATGGTCTTAGGCGAACCTTGTGAAAGGGTGGTTCGACCCACACAAAAAGGGTCGCTACCCGCAGGTTGAAAACAGCTCCTGTAAAGTCACTGATAAAAGTTCCTTATGTCCATATGCCTGTAAAAATATTATATTGTCAGGCTGCATTTTCTCTTGTTCGGGCAAGGCTAGTAAGTAAAAAAGTAAAGGACCCTTTTCCACGTCTTTAGGCTTATAGGGCATATAGGGCTAGACCTATATTTTTATAGACCAATCAGCACAAGATGCGTGATGTGGTCAGCATCACTCCGGCCCCTTTACCTCCCGGGACTGCACCCAGTACCCTCTCAAGGCTGGGTCTACCTGGAAGCCAAGGTCATTTTTGAGAAATAGTACGGCTCCGCCAGGGAGCGAACCCACGACCTTCCGATCCGCGGCGAGCGTCTAGCCGCTCGGCCACAGTGACTCCCGGACAAGGCTAGTATTCGCCATTACTCTCTAGCGAAGTTGGTTAAACCTAACTTTCGCGGCGGCCGGGTGACGAACTCCTTGTGGTCCGGGTTCTCTCCCGGGGGTAGGCAGAAAAGCCACATTTCTCCCAGACTAACGGTACCTATAATGGAATCAAGGCCGAAGGGTTGCGATATCCATAGTACCGAACCAAAGGGTTTACAACTCATGGTTTCTGGATACGTAAAAAAATTTTTAAAAATCCGCCATTAAATGCTCCTCCGACAATGGACACAAAGTGGGATGGTCAAGCTTGTCGTATGAGCCGTCTAAATTTTGCTTCAACAGATCAGGTAGTTTCAACTACTGTTATATGATGGTTTTGACATTTTAGACCGAGACTTGGCAAAAACATTTCATACTGACACGGATTACGATACTACTCAGAAAGAACAAAACGCAAAACTACTGAAGAAACATGATTGTGTCATCATTGTGACATTCACAATCTTTGTAATTTAGTCAGTGACATTATTAAAATTGTGCGCAAGAATAACTTAGGATTCAACCAATCAGTTGACAGTTCTTTTGCATCAGCTGAATCATTTAGGCGTACGGGCTTTCTCGTTAACTAATAAAATGGCGCTATGATATAGCTATGCGTGTCTTCTTTCCCCCCCCCCCCCCCCCCCCCCGTATAAACGCAAAGTTCAGGGCTCTGCCAATGTTAAATGATTATCTGCTTCGGAAGATAAAAATCAACATTGTTTAAGTGCCTCTGAGAGGAGGAAAACTGGAGAATGTTAGTTTGAGCTTAAAGGAGAAGAGTTTCAGAGGAGAGAAGGGGGCAGATAGAGACTGACGATGTTGGACAGGGTAGTGACATGATCATCATCATCATCATATAACAGTTCCTTTGCAGAAAGTCGCTCTCATCAGTGTCTCCCTGAAAGAAACTCGGTCTCTCGCCAGTTCTCCCGCCTCATGTACTTTCATACTCAAGGAGTTACTTATATCCTGTGCCCATCTTTGTGTTGGTCGGCCCGTGCCCCTCCTTCCTGGTACCACGGCTTCTCCTATAATATTTTTTTTTCGAATCCGTCGTGGCGTGACATGACAGCAACACGATACTGACGAATATCTGTATCAGAAAGGATTAGAAGTAAACGCCACAGAAGGCCTTCGTATGTCGGCATCGGAAATGATGAAGAATGGAGTCACCCTGAACCATCAAAGATCCAATTAATAATAATCCCATGCAGGTCGTTGACATATGCAAGAAGAGACACAACACAAGCTAAATCGGAGTCTGCATGACTCGTTTGCACACGGTGGAAATATAACGACAACTGGGTCATTTCACCACCGGTTATCGTAGGAATAATTTAGAAATTATTAATTCATTTCAAGTATTATTTTTTCTCCCATTCCCCTTCCCATTATTTATTAAAACCGAAGAGTCTGTTGACGTGACAAAAAAGAGCTTTGGATTTTGTTTGATTTTAGTTTTCTGCCAAATGCAATTTACATCGGAGACGTAGTAGTTTAATAATTTCTGGGAGCTCTTCTGTCGGCCTAAAGATTTGGAGTTTAAATTCGCCTCGAGGCTGATTTTTCTGTTAACATTAACTTTGGCTTTCAGGTCGACATAGCCTCAGATATGTTATGAATTAATCAAGTAACAGAAAGTGTATTGATCGGAACTCATAGAAAGAAGTAAAAAGATATAAGAACACACTAGACAACATAAAAATCGAAAGCTATAGTTACCTTCCCGGGAATTGAACCTGTCACCTGCAGACGGCGTGTGCGCCTCGCCATGAATACAAGTGCACTTAGAACATGTACCAGGCCGGTGTGATACTGAAGACATCACCCACCCCTTGCCGATTGGTGTGTAAAGATATCAGTGAAACAGTGTATGCCCGATGCACTACTGGAACAAAATGGGGACGGGGTGGGGGGGGGGGTGTTCCTTTACTATGCCTAATGTAAAAATGCAATGTAATAATATAATGGTAATATATAGTTTGTTGCGTATTCGTTACAGGACGTTGTAGAACCAACCTAATCCTTGTTTGCAGTTGTGTGGTTTTTCTAGGCAAACTTTAGGTTTGGTAGTTTGCCATTGCTTACTGAACAGTCAGCTCTGTGTAACGCTGTCAAAACCTAGAAAAGACAAACTGGAATCGAACTCAGCACCCCAGAATTTTGAAGCGCGTTCGTAACGCCTAAGCCACAGACACCGACAAGATTTAAAAATGTAATAATAGAATGTAGTAATACAATGTAATAATATACTATACATAGAGATAGTTCTTATTGTAATTTTGCTTGTGTACATTTCAACATCAGTCATTTGTATGTAAACTAGCTCAGGTCTTTGAGTAGCGAGGTAGCGGCATCCTCTGTCAAAGGAGAAGTATTCCATCTCCTTCTCTCCGCTAGCCTACATCAAACGGCGTCGACAGTGAGAAAACTGTAGATCACATCATCCGTCAAGTACCCATTAAAGTAAAAAGAAATGTAAAGATTCTTTTTCACTCCTCTAAGCGCATCGGGCATATGGGAAGAGAACCCATATTGTCACCAATTCTTAGCAGCCACACTTGTCTTTTCCTTCCACTGGCCCGACGACAACGTGACTGCTATCTGGAATACGTCAGTTAAGTCATTTTGTGTAATCGTGTCAGTATATGTGGTTCTGTTGATTTATGTAATGCGCTGATGAAGATTCTGTAGAGATAACGTTCACTTGCAGACCATGGACCAGTCTGTCTAGCGAAGCTCTACATCTCACGTACATCATGAGCCAGCAACTTCTCCGTGTGACCCAAAAGGAGGTTGACGGGACCTCGAGCCATATCTGCCTTCACCTCCTGGGCCTGTCAATAGTCAGGCTGACTGAAGACGACCATGACCTATTTTAACTCCTGAATCTGGCTGACGAACGGAAAGTCGACGAGACCCTATTTTAACTCCTGAATCTTGCTGACGAGCGAAAAGTCGACGAGACCCTACTTAAACTCCTGAATCTGGCTGACGAACAAAAAATCGACGAGACCCTGTAACTCCTGAATCTGGCAGACGACCGAAGAGTCGACGATACCTTACTTTAACTCCTGAATCTGGCTGACGAACGAAATGTCGACGAGACCCTACTTTAACTCCTGAATCTGGCTAACGAACGGAAAGTCGACGAGACATTATTTTAACTCCTGAATCTGGCTGACGAACGGAAAGTCGACGAGACCCTTCTTTAACTCCTGAATCTGTCTGACGAACGGAAAGTCGACGAGACCCTACTTTAACTCCTGAATCTGGCTGACGAACGGAAAGTTGACAAGACTCTAACAATATAGGTGCTCTTCCCATGTTATAAGAGACCAGTCGGCATTAGGCGGGTAATGTGGCCAGCATTACGCCGGCCGTCTTCACTTCCCAAAGACATACATCCTGGTACCAATTTTGGGCTGGGTTGACCGCGACGCCCCATAAAAAAAAAAAAAAAAAATCCACGCAGCCAGCAGTGGGTTTCGATCTCCCTACGTTGGAATATCGAGACGGACTCTCCTACACCAATGCCACGGACGCCCAAGTCGCCATTGGTCTCAAATTTAATGAAA